AATGAGGCGTTCTGCTCCCGTAAAGATTTACAGCCTCGGAAACCCTGTACAGGGTCGCTATGGGTCGGAACCGACTCGACGGCACTTAGCAACAAAGCAACAAAGCAAAGTGTTATTATTAGATTAAATTCAAGTTCCCATATTTTGAGAGACCCTTCTTATAAACAAAATCTAATTCCTCTTGTCAAGCTAGTGTTTGTCAGTGAGGTTATGCTACGTATGTTGTTGTTGTTGTTGTTAAGTGCCATCAAGTTGTTCCAGATTCATAGTGACCCTGTATAGGATTTCCAATGGTTTACATCTTTGCTGGAGCAGAAAGCCCCATCTTTCTTCTTCAGAACAGCTGGTGAGCTCAAACCACTGACCCCATGGTTCACAGTCCAGTGCTTACCATATGAAGGAACTACACTCCCCATGCTATGTATATATATTATATAGATATATATATACATAGATACCAGCCTATTTTCTGTAAAGCCTCTAAAATACTACACAAGTTTAAGCTAAGAGTGTATTTAGTTTTTTGTTTGTTTGTTTGTTTTGTATTTTTAGTTTTAAGGACAGAAAAATTTCCATGAAATAATTAGTATTTGAAATAGGCAATGTAATTTAAGAACATGAATTGGTAATTTTATTTTATAAAATGTTGTTTCCCCCTCGCAACAAGAACTTTCCTTTAATGGTTTACCTAGTTATCCAGATACACTTTCCAAAATTATAGATAAAACTTGAAGATATAATAACTATTGTTTTAGTTTAATAATTTTCTTCAGTTGTTTTTGATCGCTTAGAAGTGAGTGCATTTATCTTATCCAGGTTCATATGAAACCTATAAGTTTCAGGAAGGACTCCAGATTCCTTAAAATAATAATACTTCTAAGAACTGAAAAGTCATAAAAGCTGGATTAAGAGGAGAAAAAAAAATTTCCAGTTACTACTAGTGAAAGAACTGGCTGAAGAGATTGCTATTAATGCTAGAATGCACTTCATATATAAAATAATACAGTTGAGCACTTTTATACATGAGGAAACTGAGGCTCAAGATGATGGAACCAGCACTAATAAATGTTTCTTATACCAGTAATATTTAAACTGTGCTTATTTCTTTAAAAATTGAGGTATTTCGCCAGTGAAATACAGTTGTAATCATCTTTTCCAAGTTTGTAGAAAATAATTAATATATTCTTCTTACTTTAAAGTTTTTAGTTTTAATATCAGTGTTGTTACCTACACCTATGGAAGCAGTAGCTCAAAAGAGGGAACAAGTCCTTACAGCAAGATTCATTCCCACCCCCTCCACACACAGAGTAGACAGG